GACTTGGAATATAAGGAAGCAAAAAACACCCAATCAGAACAGAAAAAAGAATCCAAAAAAATGAGGATAGTTTAAGGAGCCTCTGGGACAACTTTAAGCATGCCAACATTCACATCTTGGGGGTGCCAGAAGGAGAAAAGAGAAAACAAGAAATTGAAAAGCTACTTGAAACAATAATGACAGAAAACTTCCCTAACATGGTGAAGGAAACAGATATACATGTCCAGGAAGCACAGAGAGTCCCAAACAAGATGAAGCCCAAGAGGCCCACACCAAGACACATCATCATCAAAATGCAAAAGGTTCAAAACAAAGAGAGAATCTTAAAAGCAGCAAGGGAAAAGCAGTTTGTTACCTACAAAGGAGCTCCTATAAGACTGTCTGCTGATTTCTCAAAGGAAACTTTGCAAGCCAGAAGGGAGTGGCAAGAAATATTCAGAGTGATGAAATGCAAGAACCTACAACCAAGATTATTCTATTCTGCAAAGCTATCATTTGGAATCGATGGCCATATAAAGAATTTCCCAGACAAGAAAAAGCTAAAGGAGTTCATCACCACCAAACTAGTATTATATGAAATGTTGAAGGGTCTTCTTGAAGGAGAAGAACAAAAATATGAACAAACAAAATGGATAAATACATATCTATTGACAATATAATCTACAAACAAAATGAACAAGCAGAACAGAAACATTCTCATAGATACAGAGAACATTTTGTTGGTTGCCAGATGGAAGGGTGGTTGGGGGGATGGGTGAAAAAGGTGAAGGGATTAAGAATGACAAACCTCAAAAGGAAGGGGAGTTGGGTGGGAAGAAATAAACCAAAGAACTTATATGAATATATGCATAACCAATGGACACAGACAACAGTGTGGGAAAAGGCAGGAGGGGGCGGTAATGGGGAGGAGGGAGTCAATAGGGGAAAAAGGAGGAATATCTATAATATATTCAACAATAAAGATAAGTTTAAAAAATAACTAATAATAAATAAATAAATAAGTAAGTAAGTAAGTACAAAACAGAGGTCAGGCTTAGAGCCATGAGAAGGGAACAAGTACTGGGGTGACTGACTGGGAGGGTGGGAGAGCATCTGTACTTGCAAAGGAGTAAGACAGGAAAAGGTTGTGATGCATCTAGGGGACAGGATAGGATGTGGCAAACAGAGGATGTGGCAAACAGAGACTGAAAAAAAGGGGAGCTTGAGACCTAAGCCTATAAGGACTCTGTGGCACTAACATGTTTGCGTGTTGTCCTCTGGGCAGTGGAAACCACCGCAGGCTTTGATGAAGGAGAGAAGCACGAGGTTTGTGCCTTAGAAAGACCTGTGTGGCAGCCACATGGAGACTGGGGATGCAGAGAGGATCAGGAGGCTATGGGGAATGATGCGTCAGTGATGGTGGGGATAAAGAGGAAGGGATTCATTCAAGATACATTTAGGAGGAAGAAAAATCAATATAACTTCTTAACTGACTGGTACAGGCATTAAAGATAACCAAAACCTTTAGCTTGATAACTGAATGAATGGTATTATCATTAAGTAAGAGGAAAAGATGGTTTGAGATCATTATAACTAATATCTACTAAGTAGTTTTCTAGGCCCTTTTAAGTACTAATTTAATCCTCACAACAACCCAAAGAGCTCTCTGATTTACAGATGAGGAAACTAATGCACAGAAAGGTTAAGTAAGTTCTCCAAGGTCACACAGCCAGTAAAAGGCAGAGCCAAAATTTGAACTCAGATACACTCTCAACTACATTATACTGTCTGGGACATAACCAATTAAATGTCTCTCATGTCTGAGGGACCTCCAAGGAGTTGTGTTTAATTGACATTTGGAAAACTGAACTAGTGCTCAAAAAAAAAAATAAAGGTTAACAGTATGGATTTTAATATTTTTTCTTTGTTGATTTTAGAGAGAGAGGAAGGGAGAGGGAGAGATAGAAACATCGATGAGAGAGAACATTGATTGGCTGCCTCCTGCATGCCTCCCACTGGGGATTGGGCCCACAACCTGGGCGTGTATCCTGACCGGGAATCAAATCAGCAGCCTTTTGGTGTATGGGTTGATGCTCAACCTCTGAGCCACACCAGCCAGGCAACAATATGAATTTTAAAGTCATCAATATAGATGATTTCTTGAGGCCATGGGAGCAATAAGATAGACATTTAGCTGGGTTGGTGTGGCTCAGTGGTTGAGCATTCACTCACACACCAAAAGGTCGCTGGTTCAATTCCTGGTCAGGGCACATGCCCGGGTTATGGGCCCAGTCCCTAAAAGGGGGCGTGCAGAAGGTGGCCAATCGATGTTCTCTCTCATCAATGTTTCTATCTGTCTCTCTCTCTCCCTTCCTCTCTCTCTAAAATCAATAAAGAAAAAATATGTTTTAAAAAGATAGATATTTAGATTGAAGAGAGAGCCAAAATGTCAGGACCAGTAAGAGAGATTCTAGGAGGAAAATTTTTGAAATGATAGTCAATGATAGTCCATAAACTAGGTCAGTCACCACAGCACAGAGGTGCGTGAGCTTAAAACAGTCTGGACTTTCTCCTTGTGAAGCAGGAGATCCATTCAGTATTGCTGAATGATGAATATAGCACTCATAGCTAAAGGGTCCCTGCACAGATTGCATTAGGGAGAAGAGAAGCCTAATAAAGTATGAAATGGGGAAAACAAGAACACAAACCAAAAATTGATGCTCTCAGCTCTTGGATGATTTGCATCTGTGTTTGAGCAAAGGAGCTCCTTCCTCAGAGAGGCAGCAACAATGTAAGCTCATCTCCCCAGCAGACCCTCATCTCATTCATTACCTCCCTCCCCCCTGTCCCCACTGAATCCAGCTTCTGCTCTGCCAGAGGGCAGGGACCCACCAGGACATAGCAACACCTGAAACAGAAGAAACCGGAAGCCATTCTAGTGCAAAGACAGTACAAAGGAATGATGACTTCTGCAAGAATCAGCTTTTGTTTTTACTGGGCATGTTCCATGATTCATTAGCCATCATATATGCTATATCTGAGCTCTAGGTCTAAATCAACCAAGTTCAGAAGGAAGAAGAAGGAAAGAATAATAGCAAAAGATGGGCAGATATCTCAGAAAATTTTAATCCTAAAAAGGGAAAACAGAAACAGAGGGAAGTGGTGAGCATTTCCTCTTTGAGCACTCAGGTACTGCGGGTCTAGAGGGCGGAAGCGGAAGCAGCAGCAGACGCAGCCCTGGGCTCTGGGACCTGCTACATGCACAGGTCCTGGTTGCCATGGTGCCACCCGGCTAGCTGGCAAGGTTTCATCAGCATTCTCTTTCTGCCACAGTTCCTGTCTTGTGGGCAGCAGCAAAAAAGAAGAAAAAAAATGTTATTTGTATTCTAATGGCTGCTGGGTCCCTGAATACTATGCCTGGAAAGAACAAGGAGAAAATATAAGAGGCAGAGAAAGCAGCCAAGATGAGATTAAACCCCTCTGGAACGTATTAAGTCCAATCTGGACTTGTATGGATGAACTGCCCTCCTGAATAAACACTCTTCCCCCAACCCTTTTTTGGGGGGGCGAGGGGGTATCTATAATCCAAAAATCTTCACAGAGAGTATCAGCTTTTTGTCAAGGCTATTTCCCACAGTGATTTCCAATACTAGGACTCTGGGTCCACTCCTAGATGAAAAGCATGAACTGTGGCAAAGGAAACAAATATTGGTCAGCACACTAATCAGCAAAAGACATGAGCACTTCTAGGTCTCAATTGCATCATCTGTGAAATGAGGAGGTTTTACTAGCCGTATGCTAAGGATCCTTCTACTCTCCTAGCCTATCTTGAGGGTACTCAGGAGTAAGAGAGCCCTTCCAGGTGCCTCTCAAAGGATATTAGGCTGCTCATGTGCCAGGACTCTGATTATCCCCCAGGGGCACCCAACTGCGAACGAGGCCACAACTCAATGGAAGAAATAAGTAAACACAGGAAGCTACATCCACACATTTGATTAAACCAACGTTCGTGGGCAGAGGCCACGTCTCATTCATCTTCACACACTCAACATCCAGCACACTCTAAGCACTTGGCTTAACAAGTGACTACTGAGTGCACTTGCAGGCAGATCTTTAAAACATGCTATTATGAAATCTTTTCAACTATGAGTTGAACTGTGTTGCCCCAAAATTTGTATGTTGAAGTCCTATCTCCTAGTCCTTCAGAATGTGACCCTACTTAAAGCCAGGGAGCAAGGCCTGGACAACAGATCCCTCCTTCACAGCCCTCAGAAGGCGACAACCCTGCCGACACCTTGATCTCAGACTATGAGGCTCCAGACTGTGAGACCATAAATGTGTGTAGCACTTTGCTACGGCAGCACTAGCACACAAGCAGTACAAATCCAAAAGCAGAGAGAACTGTATAATGAAACGTGCCTTCATACTCATCACCCAGATCTTTCATTACTGCATACTAATTACCCCCAACATAGACGGACTTTTCCTCACGTAACCACAATGCCGTTACCAAACCTAACAAGGTTAATAATTTAAAAGCACATTTAATTCATTGGAAAAATACACCTTATAAAATATACCTTATACTAAAACACACATTTAACATAAAGCTGTCCTCCATTAAAGCTATTAACAATATTAAAACAAAAATCCCAATAAGTTTGAATTTCTGTGGATAAAATCTTCACTAATAAGACTCTTAGAACAATTCAGTTCCTTAGTCAGCTCTCTTAATCAACATATTATCTGAGAATAAAAACCTGTTACCTTATTAAAGTACAGAAATGAATGGAAAAGGCAGTCAGTATTCATACATACTCTCTGGTCATTGAAAATGCACTTTTCAAACTAAACTCAAGAAATTTAGCAGAAGTCTCTGATTTAAAAAAAAACAAAACACACTAATATGGGCAGTGGTATTCTATGTTAAATTGCACACACTTTAAGTACTTGAAAATTGACATGGCAGAACTAAAAAAAAAAAAAAAAAAAAAAAAAAAAAGATAAATGCAAAACCATACCTTGACAAAGTATAAATCCTTTGTTTTTTCTAAGACTTTAGAGACTGGAGCTCCCAACACTTCGACAATTCGACAACTTCCACTCACATGACCTCTTCAAAAAGCTTACTTTTTGTCTAATACAAAGAGAAATGTTAAAGTCAGAATTGCCTACTTACAAATGTTTTTCAAAAGAGTCTTTTGAAAAGCAGTTTGCTTCATCAACTTTCAAAATCAGGCATCTCTGTAGAAACCCACAATCCAGCTAATTAGGCTCAGCTGTTCGTCATATGGTCCGCAGACCAGTCAAGTGATTTTACCCTTTCCAGTTTACTAAACCTAATCTGACTGGCCTCAGACAGGAGGCGCTTCTAGTGTTAGAAGACTAGAACATACTTCAACTCTTTCTTTTCCCCCAGTCAAAACACTTGAACATTTGTTTTCTTGAGAAAACATCTTTAAACATATCTTGTTCTCAAGCCTCTCCAAGGTTATACTAATATTATATGTTTGCAAGTATAATGTCTGATCCAAACAAGTAATAAAGACAAATGGAAGGGAATAGGGCTAGATCACCTACTAGAATAGAACTCTCATTCATGGCCTCCAAACCCAGAAGTAAAACTGTCTACTGGGGCGGTCCACCCGGATATCTAACAAGCATCTCAAATTCAACATGTTGTGCCCTCAACTTACCTCCTTTGCTCTTCTCTCTGGACCCTACTTCAGACCCCCTTCTTTCCCTGTGCTGAGGGACACAATCCCCACACACACCCAGCCAGAAATCCTACGTCCTCATTGACTCCTCCCTCTCTTCCCCACCCACTTCCAGTTGGCCACCGCATTGTAGGGATCTTTCCTTCTCTCGCTGTTATTCCAAGCTTACATTTCTCATCTGAATGGCTACAATTAACCACTTATTTGGTTTTCTAGCCCTCAACCTGGTCCTCCATCCTCCACACCGCACCCAAAGTGATCTTTCCCAAAGGCAGATGCGGGCCCATCACTGTCCTCTCTAAAACCTGCCAATGGCTCCCCACAACCTCCACAATGGAGTCCCTGCTCCTTAGGCTTCTGCCTTCAGTGTTGCCTCCCATCCCCTGCTTCCTGCCTCCTGCCACCAGCACTATTTGTAATTCTCTAAACCAGTGGTTTTCAAAATGTGAAATCAACACCATCAGCTCCACCTGGGAAATTGTTCAAACTGCACATTCTTGGGTCCACCTCAGGCCTACTGAGTCAGAAATTATAAGGATGGGTGCAGCGGTTCAACAAGCCTGCCAGGTGGCTGTGATACACACTGAACTGAGAGCCACTGCTCCGAGCCCGCCACGCTCTGTTCCTAAGAGATCGACCCCTTCGGCTTTTTGTTCTAAGGAGCAATGCTGAGTTAGATGCCCCTTCTTCACACTTACTCTTTCCTCAATCTGGTCAACCCTGTACGGTAACTATCCAACATATTTCTTGTTGGTTGGGGGATATCTTGAACACAGAATTGTGTCTTACTTGCTGCACTCAGTCCACAATCGTTTATAGAACACTCACCTGTCACTGAGATAGATGCTGGACATAAAACGAATGACTCCATCCTTTGCCACTAGAGGAAGCCACACTCTGACCTTAGCAGCTCAAAGTGTCACAGACAACCTATCCAATTTACAAAATCCCATCACCAACCTAAAGAACTGTGGGCAACTACAATCGTCTGAACATCACCAGTCTGACATCTCTCGTGGCAACACAGAATTTTTGGTTCACGTCTGATGCCAACTCAGATGTGTAAAGGTGGAAAGGGTACATTTTCATGAAAATTTATGTACTCCTCTTTATTATCTTACAGCAACCTCTTGACTTTGGAGAATAATTGAGTGCAGGAATGTATCAACATTTTAAAATCCCAAATTAAAATTCATTCAAGTTAGCTTAGTCTAATTATAGAAGTTGAATGAAGTTTCGTGTTAGCACGTCTCAGCCTTCAGCATGCAGAGGACACTCCTGGGGGTTTTGTTAAAATGCTAATTATGATCCAATAGGACTGGGTGGAGCCCAGGAATCTGCATTTCTAACAAGCACTCAGGTGATGCCCCGGTAATACTGATGCTCCTAGTCCTAGAACTGCATTTTGAGTAGCAAGTAAAATTCGGACAAACCCATTTTTCATAGAACTATCAGTCTTCCTCGTAGAGCAACAAAATCTGTTTTGACCCCTTTCCATGGAAAGTTCTCTAAACTATTTTTCAACCTTCAGGACAAAACACACACATTAAGTTCTGCTACTTTCCCAAATCTCACTAATATAACAATAAAGGGAATTTTATTTCTTTTAGACATAAACTCACAAGGACAAAGTGAGTGGGAATAAGAGCAATAAAATTTTGGAAGCCAGAAAATGTTGGACAAGAGGTCATTGATCAGCAGGCCAGGAAAGGTGACTCATCGGCCAGTAGGGAAGGCCAAGAAGCCACCTGTCACAGAATCTCCAGAAAGGCTCAGGCCTTGCTCGCTCGAAACACCTCTGGAGGTAGAGGAGGGTCAAGTCACTGCTAAAAATGGTGGAAGTCTGCTTAGGACCCAGCCTTGTGGCTCCTCCAGCTCTGGCAGAAGTCGAAGGTTTCTTCTCTGGAAAGAAACACTCTGGGGGTCAAACTCTCGAAGGCTCTCGGGGCAGAGGGAGGCAGAGAGGAGTCACATAGTAAGTACTGAACCCACCCTACACCATGCCTTCCAGAACGCAGGCACCCTCCACAGGCTGTGTCCAGATGATCTCCTCTGGACTAGCTGCCCAACCCAGGAGGCAAGGCCCAAAGATGAAAAGGAGCCAACAACATATTGACCTAATTAAAACTAGGATGTACTGTGGATGAAGGAGGGGATGGAAATGGTATACAAGTGTGGTGGGCGTACCTGAAGAACCAAACTAAACTTCTCTTCTTCCATAGTCAAGTGTCAACAGGTAATGCCCAAAACTGAAAACAATTGACCATTGAAACATTAGGACGTCCTTTAAAGACAGGGGATGTAACTATCAGCAAGAGTCAACTAAATGCAAGAATTAAAAGTGGATGACTCTGGGGAGCAGGAAATGAGCTGGGGGAGGGGACTCTGATGGTTTTTTTGCAACAGGCCTTATGGATCTATGTCCACGTACAACCTTGATAAAATTTTAAAAATTAATTAATACAAAATGAAATGGAATGCCCATACTTTAGCATTTTTTTCTCAGGTGATTCAGGACATCAATTACTAACTTGCTATGCTGAGGAGCTAGGACCCACACTGAAGAGGGTTGTTCAGTACCAGGCTCTCGAGACAGGCTATCTGGCTTTGAATCCCAGCTTTGCCACCCACCGGCTGTGTGGCCTTCAGCAAGTTACTTAACCTGTCTGCGTCTCAGTTTCTTCATCTGTGGAATGGATAATAACAGCATTATTTTTTAATAATTTAATGAAATTTAATAATTTAATACCTATAAAGTACTTAACACAGTGTTTGGCACATAGTAAATGTTCTATAATAGCTCTTCTTATAAAGTTATGTTTGTCCCTATAATAAGTGCCTCCTGACCTCTGTATTGATTTCATCTTTCATTGGTTTATATTTCATGTTCCCCGCCCACACCTTTCTAGAGTCACCCCTTCCCCCTCCCAATGTGCAGTTTCGAATTGACAAGGAGGAAAACGGGCATCAAGACATGTTCAGAAGGGCTCTCTGTGAGGCCAACCAGCAAGTTTCAGATATGAACCATCTGTCTGACTACTCAGAACCCACTGGGGTTACTGCCTAACTATCAACTGCGGTCAGTGAGCCGGGTGACCCAGTTTCCGCAGGGTGATCTGACAGGGATTTCGCCCTGCAAGTCCGGGTCCCTGGAAACCCCAGCCCCAGCGCGGGGCAAATTGCTCAGGCCTTTTGGGCCTGTTTCGTCATTTATAAAATAAAGGATAATATCTGCTTTGAAAGTTTGTTGAGGATTTTATATAATTCCTGACATATAGAAAGCTCAATAAATGATGGCTCCAACGACTGTACTCAGTTATTCTCAACTCTAATATCAGGGGCAAACAAGTTGTTCTTCAAAACCTAACCTGTGCCTTGGTTATTTTCTTACTGTCCAGCTAAAATGTTTGCGCTTGGGAATTTCTTTCCACCCTCGCCCTACACAATTTGTTTCAGGAACCAAGGCATATTAAAGGAATTTAATATTTCAACATTGCTGACTTCTCCACGGGGCCAAGGCCTGGTAGGTTTCCGCCATCTTTGGATACACTTGTCTTTTTCACACAGTGTAAGTAAGTCTTAAGAGTATTTCTGTCAGTAACTGCTTCTAAAGTTTTGGACAGAAATCTGCATGCCACCTCACAAAGAAGGACATCAGGCATCATGCCTAAAATTCTTTTTTAAATTAAAAAAAAGAAAAAAACTCTTTTTTCCTTCATAATGGCACCAAATCACTGTCTCCTAATGGACTGACAACTCATTCACTAAATACGTCAATTCTATCTCTGAAAAATAAAGGCTCTTATCATCAAACAGATGAAACACCATTTCCGACCTCAAAAGCTGGAGTAACTCAGTACTCGATAGATATTTATTACAGCCTGGAGAAAATTGCTCACATCCGTGAAGTTGCTGAAGACAAGTTGCACAATTAGGGGTAGATAATGGAAAGGATCACAAGTGACTCAAAGTCAAACATGGCCTGGGAACCCTCCAAGAGGCAGCAGAGAGAACATGAACAGCCAGGCATATGAGAGGCTTCTCCATACGGGCTCTTCACATGCTCATATTTGTTCTGCCAAAGTTCCCATCCAGTGCCCAAGGCACAAGGGGCATGAAACACTGGAGAATCGCAGACCCTCAGAGAAGACTTGAGGGGCCTCTGGTCCAACCACTGGGGCAAGAATGAACGGATCCAGGACAGAACATCTCTAGGTCTGGTCCAATGCCTTGGCAGCAGGATCGCCTGGAGTGATCACCTGATGAAAATCCAAAGTCCTGAGTTCCACCCAGGCTTCTGTATCAGGGTCTTTGAGACAGGCATTTGCATTTATAACAAGCTTCTAGAGAGAAAACAGCAAACTCTAGCTGGGCAAATAACCTGTAGGGAAGAGCACATTTAACCACTACCAGCCAAATCTGTACAAGAGGTCTAATGCCTCCCTCGCAGGATGGTGGGAAGAATTAAAGGAGATAACAAGTAACAGCCTCAGGCTGGGAGCCTCACACACGGCAGGTGTTCAACAGCGTTAGTCCAGCCCCTCTCCTTCCTTGTGTGTATGGCATTCTAATGGAGATTTATAACTATACTCCCCGATTTGAATGTCACCAAGGAAAGCAGATGGCTGGCTTAAGTTAAAGCCTTGACTTTAATGCGTCACCAACTAAAAGGCAGAGGCCAGCAGCTCTAACCTGTGGTTGCCTTGTAAGTGTCCCTGTGGACAGTGGTTGTCAAGCTTCACTGTGCAGCAGAATCACCCGGACAGCTTTGAACAGACGGCCCCATCTCCAGAGTTCCAGATTTGGTAGGTCTGGGGTGGGGCTGGGAATCTGCACTTCTTTTTGTTTTGTTTTGAGAGAGAGAGAGACAGAGATTGATAGGTTGTTCCATTTATGTATGCATTTATTGATTGATTCTTGTCTGTGCCCTGACTGGAGATCAAACCCACAACCTTGGCATCGGGACAACACTCTAGCCTACTAAACTACCTGGCCAGGGTGGCTAATCTGCATTTCTAACAAGCCCCCAGATAATGCTGACATTGTTGGTCCCAGAGCCACACTTTGATCCTCCCACTACAGCTCCAGGATCTAAAATCTAACTGATCTGACATTTGGTAATAAAAAAAAGAAAACTCTGCTGTATGCACTTCCTGTTTGACACCAGCTGGGTTAGCTACATGTAAATAAAGAAAAAAGTAATAAACCAACACCTTCCGAGACTGTGCTGCCTCTGTTCCAAAGAATCTTTCTTACTATGTTTCTTTTTCATTTTTATTTTTCAGTTACAGTTTACATTCAATATTATTCTGTATTAGTTTCAGGTGTACAGCATAGAGTTTAGACAACCATGTACTTTACAGAGTGGTCCCTCTGATATTTCAAGCACCTACCTGGCTTCATAAATAGTTATTACGATATTATTGACGATATTCCCTCTGCTGGAATTTACTTCTCTGAGACTATTCTGTAACTGCCAATTTGTACTTCCTAATCCCTTTACCTCTGTCCCCAGTCCCCCCATCCCTGCCCCTCAGTCAACCATCACTCTGTTCTCTGTATCTATGAGTCTGTTTCTTTTTTTATTTTTATCCTCACCCGTGGACATTTTTCTTTTTTCTTTTTACATTTATCTTCAGACAGAGCGGGAGGGGGAGAGGGAAGAAGAGAGAGAGAGAAACATGCATGTGAGAGACACATCGAGTGGCTGCCACCCACATGACCCCAACCGGGGCTGGGGACAAACTGCAACCAAGGTAATGCCCTTAGCGGACACCGAACCCAGGACTCTCCGGTCCACGGGCCAACACTCTAACCGCTGAGCCAAACCAGCCAGGGCTCTATGAGTCTGTTTCTATTTTGTTCATTTATTTTGTTTTTTAGATTCCACAAATAAGTGAAATTATATGGTCTTTGTCTTTCTTTGTCTGACTTATTTCACTTAACATTCTTACTATGCTTTTTGAAAAGCACACAGAGAAGACCGGGAGAGCTGAGTGCCATCTGCCGCTCACTGGATGTGTGGCCCTGACTGAGGAGGTGATCTCTCTGAGCCCCAGCTGACTCACCTGGGAGCAGAGGTGGGCGAGGTCACCCTTCCT